ATTAATTAAATTAGACTGATTTCATTGCATAAAGTATAGCGAAACTTTACAGGTTACTATAATCAATAAAATTTTCGTAACACTACCAAGTGTTCAAAAAATGACATAATCAATTTTTTGTCTAGCTACAAACTAAATTTCAATTCAAACGTAGTATAGAAATAATAATGAAAATTTAACTATCGTTTCTTGAAGACCTAATAGAATTCCTAATAAAATGATTTTCACTTCAAATTTTCCTTAAATTAAATTCAATATTTGCAGATAGACTAGTCTATTTATAAACAATACTTTACTTCTTGTCCTCCTAAACACTTATAGAAGAGAGCTACATGTCTAATTTTTCAAACAAGCTACGCTCATCGACCGTAATTATCACAGAATTTGCGTCAACGATTTTTCTTTTTCCGAGGCAACGTCCTATATTAACACTATTGCAACAAACACAATTTACATTTCACTCCAGAAAATTCCATTCACTAATAGTCACTTTTCAAACATTATTTACTCGATCCTTTATTTATAGTACTTTATTTATAACAGACTGTTAACAGACACTGGTATTCACGCACCGCAAAAAATTCAACTACCAGTCCGCGCTCCTCCTGCGATGATCGAACTATGATGCTTCCGTATGAATCAATGCGTCGCGGTTTTCCTTAGTAAAACAACGTGACCTTGGGATCGCGTTGCGATTAAATCCGGCGAACTGCCGGAGTTGGACTGTCTTCGCTGGTGATTCTACGTCTTGAAACGACCATAGGATGTGCGGTTGTCGGTGACGATAAGTGCCCCGCCTCGCAGGAAGTTGTTCCTCCAAAATAAACAAGCGGATTAAACCATCCGTGAAACTATGATTTCGAATCATTATCTTCCGAACATCGCTCTATGGCTTCCTATCGAAAGGAAATTGGATTCTCGATGCAAACGAAACAATGGTATGCAGCGGTCCGCAAAAGTATTCGCACACCGTTTGGAATGCATTAACTTTTTTAAATCCGGATTAAATGACTTTCTTTTTTTAGATTACAGGAAGACTTGTCTACTGGACAATGACTAAAATGCGTTTTCTTTCTTTAAATTTTGTTATTACCTGGAATGACAAGAAACAAATATCTGCAGGGACGACAGACTTTGATTTTTGTGAATTATAATTTTTATTATAATTATTACAATTTTGTGAATTATAATTCAAAGGAATAACTGTAGCTGTAAAAAGATTATTCAGTGGGCAACATTCATTTTGACATGCTTAACTGTGCCGATACGTATATTTGAACAGCGAGTGTATAAATATTGTTATTTGATTCCCTAGTTTCTGACAATTAATTAAAATTTTTACGTGCTCCGTTAAGGTTTATTGAAAGATTCAGGTTGGCTAGAAGAAGCACTTTAAAACATATGAAGGAAAAAACTGAAAAATAAAATTGCGTTTATTTTTTGTATGTTATTGAGTAAAGAATGTTAGAGATGTGTTCGAACGTATTGCAAACAGGTTTCGATCGTAGATGGTTGTATCGATTGCTATAATAATATTTGATTGGTGATCAGTCGACTGTATTTTATGTATCTTGCGTATTTATGATCGAGTGAAGAACATTATTGCTTTCGCCTCGCACTATTAATGCTAAAAGAAGAAGGGATGCTTAATGAAATTAAACGATCAATTATCTAAACGTCAATTATCTAAATTATTATCTAAATATTTATATATTTATATAATGAATATTATCAATTATCTAAAAGTCTTATAACGTCAGAATAAATATTGTATTTCGTTACGATGAAAATGAAAAGTGCATTTCAAACAATTAAGATGTCTAAATGAGCGTGCAAAAACTTTCATCCAGTTCTCATACTCGTCATTCTTATTTCGTTCCTACACAACGTACGTATAGACATCGTTTTCCAGTCTCATTGTTTAGCAACCTTGAACAAAGCTTCGTGAATTGCACGTTTAAGAATGGTCAGAAAATCCATTTCTTTCTTCATATTCTTCTTCCATTCGCCCCAAATTGTATCGAAGGCAGAGAACGACATTAAATCTGCCCCAAACCTTGAAATATTTTCACAATTGGATAACAATCCTTCTCGACAAAGGAGAAAGATGTCGTAGCAAGATTAACAAAACACGTGACACGAGATTAAAAAAGGACGAATGACGCATATTATACCGCAGTGATGCACATCCTGTAGAGGGAAATTACCAGGCAGCTACTTTAATCACTTTCTGCTTGAAAATTGTTCGTTTCGTGGCCTCCGTTTTTTCAATGATGTAATTGTCTCATTGCAGGCCAAGTTTTTCCAATTTATTCGGAACAAGGTTCCGCCTCGGAAAAAAGGATAAATCGTCGACGAAAATTCTCGGAGAATTAGAATCGATAGACATACCTTGCTTGAAAACGTATTTCATATTTCAAAAGTCTGTCCACTTGACGAAATTATGAAAACAAGGGTAGATAATTCAGTATTTTTAGAGGTACAGTAACCCGTTAATCTCATAAACTGTAAGATATCGTAAACAGCATTATTGTTGTTTTAAAAATGATTTTCTAAGCCTATTTCATTAGACGTGTTCCAAGCAACTGATTCAATCAACACTTATATATATATATATCTACTACTTCTGCTAACTTTACGGTTTTTCCTAGTAAAGTACTATTACTGATATGTGATAATAAGGAAGATTTTAATACATTCGTTACGTCATGATTGATGTAATCTACACAGAAAATTCTGCATTTTATGCAATCCGTTACCATTAAAATAACCAACTCTCATCGCTTTCAATTAATTGATTAATCATGGACACCTTTATACTGTAACTAAAGTGCATTTCAACTCATAGAATATGTCCATGAATAAATTCTAAAGGCAAATAATTCCATTTACCTTGAATAGCTTTCAAAAATAAACGCCGAAATTTTGCGAATAAACTGTAATTTTATGTAATACGATATAAATGCATTTGTTTCAATGTATAATTAATTAAAACGTCGGGGAAATTCAATTTTCAATATACGGATGAACAAATTTAACGAGATCAGGAACGATCCGGGAACATTTTAAATCCGCGAAGTCGAAGTAATTTGTTTAACGAAAGAAAAATTGAAGCGTACACATTTATCGTAGCTATTATCTTTTCGTCCATGCAACAGACAACAAGCAAATTCGCTGCTCTCAACACAACAGCCCGAAAGTTAATTTTTAATTTTGAAAGTTAATCTTATCTCGTTAATTTGATCTCTTTTCTTTATCTTTTAAATTACGTATAATGGAATGTGATCATTGCGGATCTTTATGCAAATTCTCATTTTCATTAATCCTTTTGTAAGTATATAAAGAAGCGACAAATTTCTTAAATTGACTAGAAAGATCCCTCGGATGAACATAGAATAGCAATGCAATTAATTTTCATTAGTGTACGCTTTTTCATGCATTTTGCAAGCCTCCGTGAACCGTAAGTGCATACAAATCCGCAGTCCAGTAATCACTAATTGCGAAGGACAGAACGCGTTCACGAATTCCGCGAGATCGAATTCCGGATCACCTGGTTACGGATCAGCTGGATTTTGATAGTTTTATCGGTAAGTGTTACAGCTCGTGCAACGGTAAGTGTTAAACAGGGTTTACGCTCAGAGTTCTGTCCTTCTGACTCATTAATTCAGACGAGCGACGGCACTTCACACGGGTAAATACGGTGCACGATCTTTTCCACGTTACGGGAGAGCAGCGGCTCTACAATTAGCGTGGTTCGCTGCCGGCATAAAATTGCACCTGGCAAACAATAGGGAAATTAGGGTCGCTAGTGTAAACGAGGCACAGTAACGCGCCACGGAGGACTTAATTCTTCTGACGTATCAAGAGCGGACTAGAAAGTGCTTTTGAATGCGGCCCCGTGTTAGGAACATGTCTAGCTGATAATGAACACTCGCGGACCCGTGTTTTTGATACAATCAACGGAAGATTAAATAGGACAAATTTTTATTCGTGTTTATTATTTTATGTTCATACCCCTGAATAAATAGGTTACTTTCCGAGGTAAGCTATTAATGCATACATTTCATTGACTCATTGTTATCTACGATCATTTTCTACCTCTCGGTCAATTTAACGTAATTTAATTTCTACTTGTAAATTTTTGCTACTTCAATCTGAACGACTCAGATATTTTTTTTATTGTAGAATATTGTTTATTCTGTTTCACTGCATTTACATCTACTTATTTCGATCACGTAAACAATGCATTCCGATTCACCAAAATTGGCAATAATATTTAATTTGTTAACACTTCGACTGATCTGTTATGTCTTTCTAAATTGATTAGGATCCGCGGAACGTAAGAATTCAGTTGAGAAAAGTTATTTATGTTATTATACAACATAACTTTGCAATTCTAATTTGATTAAATAAGATACTTTACATTCATAGTTTTCAAAGTTTTCGAAGTTGTCGCGGCAGTCACAGTGTTAAATGAATGAATTTTTCCATTGAAAACACACGAATTATGAAAAATGCGTATATGAGCCGTTTATTTTGAAAGTGGCATAAGTCATTTTTTCAAAAAAATCGAGTTAATGGTAACACTAATTACAATTGAACGGTATCTTTTCATTTAAAAAAAAATTTGCAATCAATAAGTTGAGAACTATTGAGATTTGTTCGAGAGAAGTTTTGCTAATTAACGGTATAACAAACATGTTTATTTTGAAAGTGGCGTAAGTCGCTGTACTCAGGAAATGAATTGCGGGGCTTAGTGTAAAAGAAATAGAAACGTGTGATAAGTGTGTGTGAAGTATTGTTTTGAATTATTTTCAGTATTTTTAAAAAAGTTGTGACCACTGGACTTATTTTTATAAGTGCGAAAGAATAGTGCAGTTTTGTAAATTATATTATAGTGATGTGGCGGCTACCTCCAGACCCGCCAGCAGATGGCTATAAAATGTTTTATAAACTAACTTTAGATGAAAAAGATGAATTTCTAACTTTGGATTTGTCACCAAAAAGAGGAAGACCTAGGCGTTAT